ATGGCACATAACAACAGCAACAACCCAGGCACAGAACTCTACATGTATCATTCAGCTGACTGGTTTGATGTCTAGACATCTATGAGTCATAGCAGCTCTCTGAACAACAGGTCGAATCTTGCACCATCATCAGTTTCTCTGCCATGCTCAAGTGCATTGTTGCAACCATTATGTCAAGCCATCTTAATGAAGATCTTCCTCTCTTCACTCTTCCAAGCAGGATGTCTTTTTACAAGAACTAGTTCCTCCTGACAACATGCCCTAAGTATGTGAGGTGAAGTTTCAACAGTCTTGCCTCTTATTTATTACACTTCCTCCAAAACAAATTTGTTTATTCTTTTAGCAGTCCATGATATAGTCAATATACTCCACTAACACAATTCAAAGCCAATAATTCTTCTCCTACAGTCTTCCTTATTCATTATTCAACTTTCGTGTGCATATGAAGCAATAAAAAATTCCATAGTTTGGTTTGGGTGCACCTCAGTCTTTAAACTGACATCCTTCTCTTCAGCACTTTAAAGAGATCCTTGACAATAGATTTTTCTAAATGCCACTTATATTTTTTTCTTGTCTACTGCTGCTACCCTGAGTATCAATTGTGGATCCAAGTAAAATGAAATCATTGACAATCTTAATCTTTTCAATTGGCATGGGACATTTTGAATCAGACAATTATATGATACACTAAAAGACTTATTGCCATGGGAAAGTCTGTTGTTAGGGACCTCTCTGAAGTACCGAAGAGCAATGGTGTCACTCTGGAGACTAAGGTGTGTCTGATACAGGACATGGTCTTTGCCATCACTTGTTATGCATCAGAGAGTTGGACAATGACTAGGGAGGTTAGATGGAAAATTGATGCCTTTGAGCTGTGGTGCTGGAGAAGAGTATTGAATGCACCATGGACTGCTAAGAAAACAAACAGATTCGGCCTGGAAAGGGTTAAACTGGGCGGCTCCTTGGAGGGCTCCGTCTAACATACTTTGGGCATGTTGTAATGAGCGACCTGTCCTTGAAGAGGGACATCATGCTTGGGAGGGTGGAGGGACAGCGCAGGAGGGGTGACTGGGGTAATCGGGATAGGTGTGTTGGAGACAGTGCGATTGGCACAAGACAGAGCAGAGTTTAGGGCTGCTGTACATAGGGTGGCTATGAGTCGCAAACGACTCGACGGTACATAACAAGAACAACATGCTGAAAATGAAAAAGTGAGGTCACCACGGATCTAGTCAATTTGATTCTGTTTTCTATCAGGGAAGATCCATGTGTAAAGTTACCACTTATTATTTTTTTTAAAAAAATTTATTTGGGCGGGGATTGGCTGCGGGGGCGCAGATGTCAGCCTCCGCCCCCTCCCCCCCAAGAAGTCCTTCAACCAGAGCCTGGCCGAGTGGAAGCTCTTCATCTATAACCCCAACACCGGACAGTTCCTAGGGCGCACCGCCAAGAGTTGGGGTTTGATCTTGCTCTTCAACCTAGTCTTCTATGGCTTCTTGGCTGCTCTCTTCACATTCACAATGTGGGTCATGCTCCAGACACTGAATGATGAAGTTCCCAAATACCGCGACCAGATTCCCAGTCAAGGACTTATGGTTTTTCCAAAACCAATGAGCGCCTTGGAATATTCATTCAGTGTGTCTGACGCACAGTCCTATGAAAGATACATTGAAGACCTTGACCGTTTTCTAAAGTCATATAGTCCAGAAGAACAGAAGAACCTCACAGTGTGTCCTGAAGGAATACTTTTTGAACAAAAGGGCCCTGTTTATTCTGCATGTCAGTTTCCTCTGGATTTACTTAAAGACTGCAGTGGCTTGATGGATCCTAACTATGGCTATTCCAAAGGAAACCCTTGTGTTCTTGTGAAAATGAACCGAATAATTGGATTAAAGCCTAAAAGAGAACCGAAGGTAGTATGTACGTCAAAGAATGAACAGATGGCACATGTAACATACGCTTCCGTGGGAAATATAGACTTAAAATATTTTCCATATTATGGGGAAAAATTACATGTGGGGTATCTGCAGCCAATTGTTGCCGTCCAGGCATTCTTTGGTCCTCTTAACGTTACCAAGAAAGAAGCCACATTTGACTGCAAGATCGAGGGAGTATCCAACCTGAAAAACCAGGATGACCGTGACAAATTTTTAGGACAGGTTACATTCAAAATCACAGTGAATGCATAGTCTGAGTAGGATGTCTGTACAGAGTAAATGTTGTGTTGTCTGTTCCCGCTTTGCATCAGCTGGACCTGCCATTCTAGAATTATGAGACCACCTTGGAGAAAGGTGGGTGGCACGTGGCACTGGGGTGACACCTTCATGTGCTTCCAGATCACACTGCCCGATATCCTCTGAAAAAACTGCCTGTTGCCTCTGCTGCCCTTTGAACCAGTGTACAGACGCCATATTAGGGACAGGGAAATACCTGATCACGATCAGTATGATGGGGGTCTTTTCCTCTTTTCGTGTGGTTTAACTGCCAAGTGTCTAAAGCTTAATGTGCTGTGCTGTGTAAATATTGTATGGATTTAACACTGGTTAACTGTCCTTTGATGCCAACACAATTTTTAGGGATAAAACGATAAAAGAAATAGTACTTGACCAACACCAAGTGACTTTATAGCTGCAATCAGTGGGTGTGGTGTGTGGAGACCCCTGAACTGATGTGTCCGCAAGGAGGGCAAAGAAAATAAAAGTGCGTTGGAAAGTGTTAAAAAAATAATAAAATTATTTGCATTAAATGGGTCATTAGCCATACAAAATTCTATCTTGTGATCTCTGGCCACATTTCTATCACCATATTTTCCAGTTAAAATCTTTACTCTTTGTTTTCACCTTTTAAATTCCAATTGCAAGCTATTATTTTTTCATTGTTGCATAAATTTCTTCCCCTCAACCCCTGCTCTCTCAGCCCACCTCACAATGCACCCCTTGTTCTAGATTGTTGTCATACAATTAATGTCCAATCATACACTCCTTTTGGTCAGTTCTTTCCATCATTTGTTGTAATGCGGCACTTATCATCCATCCACTCTTTTCCCCTTCTATCCCCAATCTCCCTATATCTGTCCTATTTTATAACAGTGATGTTATACAGCAGTGTTTGTCCTTTTGTGACTGAGATATTTCACTCAGCATGACGTCCTGTTGGCTCCCCCATGTTGTGTAATGTTTTACAAGTTGATTGTTTTTCTATGCTGTATAATATTCTATTATGTGAATGGACCATCATTTTCCTATTCATTCATTTGTCGATGGGCACTTGGATTGCTTCCATCTCTTTGTTATTGTGAATAATGCAGCAATAACCATGGACATGTATACATCTTATCTTTGTCTTTTTTCCTACTAATTCATTTAAAAATTAAATACAAATTTGAACAAATTCTTTCCATTTTCTTCATCCCCCCCCACACCCATCAAATTATACAACCCAATGATTAATCTCCCCTTCCCCCTGTATATCCACATCCCTCTGCTTCCAGCCTCTCCTACTCCTCCTGGATCCTTATACTCATTTTACAATAATGGTTTTATACAATATTTATCCTTATGGGGCTGAGTTAGTTCACTCACATAATGCTCTCCAGTCCCTCCCAAGTTAGGTAATAATTTACAAAGTTATTGCTCTGGCATGCTGCATATCATTTCATTGTGTGAACATACCATAATTTCTCAATCCATTCGTTTGTGGTTAGCATACATCTTTTTGAGTCATGGCTCTGGTTCCTTATATCACCAGTAGTGGAATTGCTAGGTCAAATAGTATTTCTATTTCCAACTTTTTGAGTAATTGGCAGACCACCTTCCATTTTATGTTTCTACCATCAGTGACTGGAAGAGAATGATATTTGTTCCC